CATTCAATCCCCTCATCCAGATCATCAATAAAGACATTAAACAGGATGGGCCCCAACACTGAGTCCTGGGGAACATTACTTGTGACCAGCTGCCAGCTGGATGTAACTGCATTCACCATCAGTCTCTGGGCCCAGCCACCCAATCATTTGAGCATCACTGATGCAGCAAACAGTACACCTCATGCAATCAGATGGATTCCTTCCTATTTTTCAGAGTCTTCCAAAGAAGAGAGACCTACAAGCATTTAGTTCCCAAGGTATTTTCTAAAGCACTTTTAAAAAAGAATTATACTATACTTGTGACCTTCCATTCTTTTGTCACCATGGCTGATTTAAATGGTAAGTGACAACTACAGTAGGCAATGCAGCAATTTTTTGCCTTTGGAACTCTTATACAAGTATTATCTGGCTCAGGCTACTTGAACCTATTCAATTTTTCAGTGTTGTTTCAAACAAACTTCATACTGATGCTTTAATTTGGTCAAAGTTTTTCAGGCTTACCATTTGATGTGTTTTAAAGGTTATACTGAGTTTTCATGATATTACAAGTTTCTCTTCAAAATATTTTTTTACTGTATTACTTCAAGTTTCCCAAAATTTCCATTTCTGGGTATGACTTCCATTTTCTGAAGGATGCTCTATTAGCTTCCTTCAGTTTTCTAACCATGTCAGTGTTTTTCCTGTTCTTTTAGACTCTCAGTACTTCATCATTAAAATAGGGATAATAATTATATGCTTATGTTGCAAGGTTGTTTATGAAGATATATTTATGAGGGTCTACACTTAACTCTGAGGTAATGAAGTCTAAAAAAAGATAATAATTAGAATTACCTGAAGTCAGAATATATCTATTGCTACTTCTAAATATCACATTGTAAATATGTAAAAGATATTACAAAGTTTCCATATGTCCTTTATCAAAAGCTGACAAAAACAGGTGGAACTAAACAGGCCAGCTGTTTCACTACATCTTGTTATGCTGGTATCCACATGCTCACCCCTACCAGCATAGGAAACATGACATATGTCAGCCTGAAGGCTGAGCTCAAAAATCAGTATCCTATCTATGAAAAATATCCTGGAGCAGATGCAGAACTGTAAATTATACCTAATGTAAAGAGCATATTCTTAAAGACTGTACTGGTTTTGTATCTATTTATATGCCAGTTCCACTGTCCCCTCCAAATTCCCTCTTTTTCAATTTCAATCAAATTTGATTAAGTTGATGTGAAAAGAGCACCTGGGTACAGGATAGAAACCTTACTAGCATCCCTTCTGAAAAGCAAAGGGACAGGGAAAGGGAAAGGGAAAAGAGCAGAAGTTATTTTAGTAAGTGAATGCAGGAGATGTAGTGTACAAATGAACAAGAAGCAAAATTTCATTAGTTTTATTGCCAAAAGAAAAGTAATTAAAAACGACTAATAATAGGCTCATAAAATGAAAAGCATTGGGAACTGCATTGAGATGAATTTGGGATAGTGATACCATCTGAATATGTCATCATAATGATGCCAAAAAGGGTATTACAATAATTCAAGCATTATGATGATTGTAGCTTTGGACAGATGTTCAGTGAGATTTTGGTGATCCGTAAGTGTAAGTAATTTTTCACAGTCATTAACCCTCCCCTCCTAGTGGATCTGCTTGAACTGAAAGACCAGGATCTCCCCTGGCATATTCCACCAAACACAGAAGAGGTTAGTGCACCAATTGCTGCCCTGCTCCAGCACTTTGCTGCTGAAAGAGAAAAGCACTGTCAGCCAAGGGGTTGGGACAGAGATCTCAGTACCATTGCATGTAGTGCCCCTGCCACAGCATGAAGGAGTGCTGGAGTCAAGGATAGGCAAAGGCAGAAGCAAAGGAGGACCTTGCAGGGGTAAAACAGCAACAGACGAAGTCAAGGTGTCAGCTGTGCAGAGAGAGGTATAAAATATACTATAGATGAAACAAAATTATTGATATATAATTTCATAATTTTTTAGTACTGTATTTCAATACCACTTAGAACTGCTTTCCTGCCATAGTATAGTATCAGTATATTATATAGGGATTATATAACCCTTAACTTCAGGCAACAAGATAAGAATTACCTATGATACACAAAACCTTTTTCTTTCTACTTATTTTGTTTATTCCCCAAGAAAGGAACTAAAAAAAAAAAAAAAACTTGTACTGAAAAATCCAAGATCAATATCTGTGCATTCAGGCATTCTGGATAATCACCTGCATTAACTATATTTGGATAAATACATCACAAACAGTTTAAAACAAGCACACTTTCCTCGCTTAAGTTCATGTCACTTTTCCACTAAAAGAGTTGGAAATAAACATTTATTGGAATTTCTTATAAGCATGGCTTGTTAAAATAAAGGCTTAGCCCATTCTCTTAAAGTAGGGTAAAGAAATGAGAACAGTCCCAACAGTTCATCAGAATGAAATTTTAATTGGAGTTTCAAGATCCTGTGTACTGAAAAGAGCTCATCATCTCCAAAAGCTGGCACAGCATTCTCAGTCTCACTAGCCTCTTAGTTCTACAACCCTACAAAACTGAATAGCCACATAAGAAAGTTTTAAAATTGGCAATCTTGAGGTTCACACATTACCACCACCAAGCAAAATTACTTTGCCTAATGTAACAAAGTTGCTGGATTTGGGGAAAATTGCAGAGTTTCAACATACAATGTGCAGACATGTATAGCTACATACTTCACCTCAAAGAAGCGTTCATTTGTTCTAAGGTTAGCAGAAACTTACTTCTGAATCTTTTGTCTTTAATTCAGAACTGTTGCCGCTTGTAAGGCAGAAGGATGCAAAGCATGACAGAATCAGGGGCACATGCTTTACAATCTCTTAGGAAAACTCTGTGTGTTATCTGCCACGTGCAAGTAATCCTGTCTGAAGCACCTGAAAGCACTCTCAATAACAGACACATATAAGTAACTGTTATGACTCCCATTTAACATATGGAGTGAAAGAAAGATTAGGTCATTTGCTGAGGGACTACAGAATCAGATATAGTCCCCTGGACTTGAGCAATTCAAGTAATAATACAGAAGGAAAATATACACATTTTATCCAGAGAGAAAACTGCAAACTGAAGTAAAAAAAATGTTGTGGAATATTTTTGTTTGTTTTTTTGTTTGGTTTGTTTTTGTTGCTGTTTGTTTGTTTGGGTTGTGGTTGGTTGGTTGGTTGTTCATTCAGGGGGGCGGGGGGGGTTGTGTGTGCAAAGAGCTCTGTTTTCCTTATTTCCTCAAATAATTTTCCCATTTATTTTCAAATAAAAGACTATACAGCACATGTTCTACCTTTTCAACCATATGCTATAAAATCACAGTTGCCTTTACCTGGAATATTTTCTTGTCTACGGGAGGGAGTACCTGTGTTGAGAAGTTTGCAATGGTCACTGTAGTTGGTACAGATGATTAAATTCCACCCAATATAAACAAAAAAATATTTCTCAGTTGTTTTTCTTAATTATTTTCCCATGGAAATAAGATCATCATTGATTGTTTTTATCTTTTAAAAACAGTGGTTTATGATCTTAAAGCTCTCATTACTACAGGTGTTTAAAACACTAGAACTCCAGTGGCCGAAGTGCTTATTTGTGAAGCTGTATGCAGAGAGGTACTTCTCAGCCATCATACCAGCATTTTTTCAAGGAAAGTATCCAATTTCGTTATGTGATCTCATTGTTTCTATTAACTATTTTAAATGCCTGTACAAAGGCATATTTCTCCTATAAACTGAAACTGCTTTATTTTCTAACTTGTCACGGTAGATTTCAAAGAACATACTACTTGGTACATACCGTAATGTTACAGCAATTTCACCTTAAATAAGGTGTGTATATAAAAGTATAATAACCAAATGAAAACCTGTATAGTTTAAAACCTTATTAACTGAAATACTGCAGTCTAATCATCCAAAAAATTAAAGGCATATAAAAATAATGGAAATAACATAAATAATTTTTTCTGTCTTTTCAGGTTAGTGATCAATTTGCTAAACCTTTACTTTCAGGTGTTAAAGAATCTTGAGAAATTCAAATTACTTAATGGTTCACATTTTCAAATAAAGTCCTGAGAATCATTATCAAGACATAAACCAATCAACCCGTTATTGTTTTATCTTGCAACTAAATCAACTGAGTTTGAGTTTGAAAGTAATCTATATATACAGTTGAACCTTCCCTTGGAGACAAGAAACAGTTTGTACTTCATGAGGCAAAGTAAAATCCAGGAGTGATTCATCTTAGTTTTAGCTGACTGGTGCCATTTCAGTTTCCCTACAGTATTTATCTGATAGATACAAAACAAGCTGCCCATCTGGACTGGCAGCAGGAACCTAGACATATTTTTTTAATGTGCCTGTAATGGTACCACTTAGGCTTAGGTACTTGAATTATTTTATGACTTTGGCAAGCTCCAAATTTTCTGCTTCATCCCACACTCCACACTTTTGTTTATCTGAAGTACTTCATCTCCCAGACAGTGTATTACGATTCTCAATTCCCATGGATTCTTTTTTTTTTTCTGGCTTTGACAAAGAAGCTGAAAATACATAGAAGAATTTGTGGAACTCTTTGTGAGGTGGCATATCCAATTTCTCTTATTTTTTTAATTACAAAACTGTGCTTGATCTACCCTTCCTTCACCTCACCCTCTAGGTACTTCCCACACAGAATCCAGCCTTCCACTCAGTTTGTCTATAAAAAGCCCAGTTACTAATTTTCCCACATTTTACACAGAACTCTTAACACCCAGTGGACAGTCATCTCTTCACAGCTCTATAAGGTTGAGTTTCCTACCTCCTCCTGTCACACACAGAGTCCGCATACTGCCGCTCCCGCTATGCTGTAGTGCTCAAGTAAATTGCGGCACTTTCCCGCTCACAAGTTCCTCATCTCGCAGGGCATTAGCTCAGAGCTTCTCCTGCCGGCAAAGTAAGAATACTCAAAACTGGGTAGTGCCTCCCCTAAACCATCCCAAGGTACTCACAGGGTCTGGGTGTCCTCCGGAAGGCTGGGAATAAAGTGGATGTCCCTGCAAGTGATTTTGTAGTCCTCCCAGTCAGAACACTCGCAGAAGGCTGAAGGGCACCTCTCTGTGCCCTGGCTGCACAGCACCAGCAGCAACTGGAAGGCTATCGGGAGGCACAGCATCTTCCGCCGCCCGCTCCCGCTCTGCCCCTCGCTTCTCCGAGGGGACGAGGAGACCCCAGAGCTGCAGGGGCAGACAACGCTGCCCCGCCGCGAAAAGCTGCTGGTGAAAGGCGGCACCTTCGCAGGACAACGCCGCCTCCTCCCTAAGCGGGTCAGGAGAGGTTTCAGGGAACTCTTCGCGCTCTCGCCATGGGGCAGGCTCCCTTTC